TAGTTTTCTCACGCTCATTCGAAAAAGGATGGTTCAACTCCCAACTTGGAATGGACATGCCAGCAAATTTACTCTGATCACTCCTGCCTATCAGAATTGGGCCAACGTTCAACCACTTTGGTGCCCTCGCTTGAATTACAAGCTTGTGCTACCAAGCTTGGCCGAAACTCTTTTCAACATGGACGAGCAGGGTCCTAAAGAAGCGAATGTAACCAAATGAAGATGCTTATATGAAATGTTAGAGGGGCTGGAAGAATCCAGTTGAGAAGACAAGTTGTTGAATTATGTAGGCTTTACAAGCCAAGTGTTTGTTGCTTAATGGAAACAAGGGTTAATCCAACTAGAGCAAAAAATATTGTGTCAACTTTAGATTTTGATAAATTCCATTTAGTTGACCCAATTGGCTTTTCAAGTGGTCTGTGGTTGTTATGGGATTCATCAGCTTGCTCTATTGATATTATTTTTTCAAATGATAAGATTATCCATGCATGCATTACTGATCTTAGCTCTAATAAAAGTAGGTTGAATACTTTTGTTTATGCTCCTCCTTGTAAGACTGATCAAATTAAAGTCTGGTACTGGATTAGAAACATTTTTTATTGTACTCATGGGGTGTGGTGTATTATATGGGAGATTTCAATGCCATGAGAAGAAATGAGAATAAAAAAGGAGGTTCGGTAGTTAAGCCTTACCAAATCAGAAATTTTAATCAATTAATAGATTATTGTAATCTTATTGAAGTAGAGATGGAGGGAGGCCAATTCACTTGGAAAAACAATAATACCAAAGAAATAATTGACTGGGTCCTGTCGAATGCTGAATGGAGATGTGAGTTTAATAATTGTAGGTTCATTAATCTTCCTTTTATGGCATTAGACCATACCCCTATGATTCTTGATAATAATACTCAAATTTTGTATGATCCTAGACCGTTCAGATTTGAAGCCATGTGGTGCCTTGATCCTAGTGTTGAAGAGATTATAAAGAGGGCTTGGGATATCAACATTATTGGCTCTAGGACCTATCAATTTTGCAAGAAAAGAATTAATCTTGTTAAAGAACTCAAATTCTGGAGTAAGCATCATTTTGGGAATATCAGAAGGAGGAAGGAAGAGATTGTTTTGAAATTCCAGGTGATCCAAGAGCAGTTAGAGGATGACCCAAATAATAGAACACTCATTAATGATGACATTGCCCTTCAAAAGCTTCTTAACAACACTCTTGCTAGAGAAGTTTACTGGGCCCAAAATTCTAGAGTTGATTGGATTAAACTTGGAGATAAAGATAATAAATTTTTTCACACCGCCGCAACTATTCGAAGAAATAAAAAAAAAAAAATCAGAAATGACAATGGTATCTAGGTGGATGACATTGAAAATATCAAAGAAGTGTTTTGTAGTGGTTACGAGAAAAGGTTCAAGTCTAAGGGTACTTCAGAGGTTGATAATTTCATTTCAAACATAGGGGGTTGTGCAACAGAATCTTTGAATACTTCCCTATGTAAAAAAGTTACAAATGAAAAAATTCATAATACCCTTCTATCGATGAAGGATATGAAGGTCCTTGTTCTTAATGGACTTAATGTTTATTTTTTCAAAAAGTTCAAGAATATTGTTGGAGATTTTATCTGTAAGACAGTTAAAGCTTTTTCCCATTCTAGGAAAATGAATGTTGAGTTAAATAGAACGTTAATCACCCTTATCCCTAATTGTGATAACCCGAAGCGAATTAATGATTTTAGACCCATTAGCTTGTGTAATGTTATTTACAAGATCATTTCCAAAATTCTTGTTAACAGAATTAAGCCATACCTAGATGACATTATTTCCCCATTTCAGAGTTCTTTCATTCCAAGTAGACAAATTATTTATAACATTCTCATTGCTCATGAAATGATGCATACTATGAAAAAAAAGAGAGACAAGCAAGGGATGCTTGCATGTAAGGTTGATATGGAAAAGGCCTATGATAGGTTGGAATGGGACTTTATTAGGAGAGTGCTTGTTAAATTTGGATTCCATATCAAATGGATTAAGTGGGTGACGGAATGCATCACTTCAGTTTCTTTTTAGATTCTCTTAAATGGACCTCGTACTCGTACCATTAGGGCCATTTGGGGTATTTGGCAGGGTGATCCCCTCTCCCCGTATATTTTTGCCCTTTGTGCTGAAGCCTTTGCAAATAATTTTTATAAAGGGGCGTTGAGTGGAAAAAATGATATTGGCTGTAAAGCCTTTAATGAAGGTCCGAAAATTCCAATTCTTCAGTTTACGGATGACTATATCATTTTTACTAAAACCTCTATTAATGCTTGTATTAAAATCAAGGAGATCTTGGATATATTTGCAAAGCATCTAGTCAATTGCCCAATTATTTTAAAAATGAATAACAAACTGGTAGGTTGGAAAAAAATTCTCTCTCTAGCTGGGAAATTAACTTTAATTAATTCTTCTGCCTCAATGGTTCCTCGATTTGTTATGCAAGCTTTTAAAATTCCAAGCAGTGTGGTCCACTGATTTAGAAAAAGACTAAAGGGATTTTATTTTGTCAAGTACAAAGAGCCAAAACCCCATTCTTGTCAGGTGTAGCAGGGTTTGCTCTCCCAAAAAATGGGGTGGTTTAGGTGTGAGGAATCTCAAATGGATGAATAAGACCCTTCTTGCTAAGTTGGGGTGGAAAATTTTAACTTGCCATGACAATCTTTGGGTCAAGATAGTGATTAATAAATACCTTAATAACAATAATTTCTGGGATGCAAGAAAAAAAAAAGAATAGTTCTTCTTGGGCTTGGAGAGGCATCTTGTCTTTCAGAGAACTTATTAAAAGGGGTTCTATGTGGTGAATTGGCAATGGAAAAAAATGTAAATTTCTGGTTGGATTCATGAACTTGTAATGATCCTCTAATTGAATTTAATAATAGGAGAGATTTGATTGATATGGATTTGACGGTTAGTGGGGTAATTGACCTTGAAAGGAGAGTGTGGAAAGAGGATTTTATTAGGTCTATTACCACTTACCAGGCTTGGCAGTGTATCCAGCCTATTTTAATTCCCCATGGGGAGTATGAAGATGAAAGAGTTTGGAAATTCACCCCGGATGGTAACTTCTCGGTTAAAACAACTTATGAAGAGGAGTGCCGGTTTAATAGTGGTGAGTTTCTTACTACCAACTATCAAATTAATTTTTGGAAACTCATGCTCCCCCCAAAAATTAAAATCTTTCTCTATCTCTTATTAAATAATAGACTTCTCACGAAAAATAATCTTATAGCCAGAGGTCTAAGAATTGACCCAGCTTGTGCCTTTTGTAGGGAGGTAGAGGACTTTGACCACTTGTTTATTAGATGTGAAAACTCTAAACAAATTTGGAGCAATTTTGATGAGGAATTCCTAATTCCCGGGAACTCTTTCTCGTCGGTCAGGCAGTGGTGGTCTTTATTTAACAAGCCAAATGGTTATTCTAGGGATAACTTCCTGAGAGAAAAATTTGCTTGTGTTTCTTGGTTCATCTGGAAGAATAGAAATAATAAACGTTTTAATGGAGGTTCCAGTAATGCGGAGAACATCATTGGCAAAGTTTTTGCTTTCTGGAATGAAATTAAAGAAGCTTCTTCTTGTGTGGATAACACTAACAGTAAAAGTTTAAATCTTGTTAAGTGGAATAAACCCAAAACTGATTGTATCAAAATCAACTTTGATGCTTCATGTTTGATTAATGGCAACTGTGCCATTGGGTGTGTTGCTAGGAACCATCAAGGTTATGTCTTCGAGATCAAAGCGATTGGGATTGGTATCACGATGATCAACCTTGCAGAAGGTTGGGTTGCATGGGAGGCTATCAACATCGCGATTAACTTCAAGGACCAACAAATCACCATTGAAGGAGACTCTAAACTGCTTATAGATTATTTCAATGGTCGAGTCTCACCCTCGTGGAGATTGATTAGTATCATTAGGGAGTGTCGAAACCTTGTTGAGTTTTTTAACCTTAATATCATATTCAAGCATATGTATCGGGAAGCGGATCAGTTGGTTGATTGGTTAGCTCGTAATGCTCTTAATAACCGAAAGGGTAGTAATGAATTTAGGACATCTGGTTTCAATTTTATTTGTAAAGCGGATGTAAGGGGAAGAGCTACCCTATACTTGTGTAGCTCACATTTTTTCATAAAAAATGAAAAAGAAATAAGATGGTTCTGATAACTTCTGAAATACAAATGTCATTGTCGAATCAGCCCTAAAAGAGTTGAGGAGCAGCCATATGATAAGTATAAGGAGGAATTAATAATTATGGGGTGGACTTTGTCCCATTTGTCTTGAGGTATGAGTGAAGTTTATCTATGCTTATGTTCCAAGGATGGTTCCCAGCATTTTACTACTTGTGACCAAATATGTCATTTTCTAAGTCAGCCTTGATCTTGAACCAAAGTATATATGAAAAAGTCAGTCTTCAACGGCGGTTGATCAGCCATGGAATACCCATTGAGAGGGAGGAATAATAGTAATTATATATAATTTGTGGACTTGACCCATCATTTTGTCTATATATCTTCCACATGTTTATTCCAAGGAAATTGTTTCCGGGCACATTATTATATTATTAGTGAACATATGTAAGTCATTCTTAAGTCAGCCTTGAAGATATCAGTCAATGCCAACACTCTCAAAAATTTTAGATATTATAATTCCAAGTGTGAATTAGTCTGACACTGGGTCTCTTGATGGGTTTAGGGCCCATTACGTAACGCATATCTTACGCATGTTTCAAGAGGAGGACCGCTATTGAGGCCCCCTGTTTGTATCTAAGATTTGAAGGGGGAAATTGGTTAATGGAATTGTAGTGATATCTGGGTAAGTGATAAATCGAACTGACGGTTAACTGAATCGGTATAATTAATTGATCAGCTTTAGTTACCAGTTTTCCTAAAATCGGTAATACTGGTTCGATTATAAAAATATGCCAAACTCTCGTTTTAAGAAGGTGACACTTTTATCATAGGGACTAACCGGCTAACATCTCTGTTTGGATTAATCTATACAAGGAGAGAGGAGAGCAAGATATACACTCGAGAGTAAAGACTCAACACATCAAAAAGGAGATATAACAGTAGGGTATGATTTTGAATTGATGAGGCCATTAGACCATGAGATCAGTAGAAAGCTTAATTTACCCGAAAAGTTCAGAATATTTTGAAATCTATATGCAGTTTGTATGACTTTCTCCAACGCTAATATTGTTGGTTCTGGCATCGATTGCGCTTCACTTCATATTTGAATATCTTAAACTAAGGTTTAGTTAATTGACTGAGTATGCCCTTACTGCTTGACTTGTCTAATCTAATTTTACCCTTATCGTCTTCTTCCTTTCAGTAGCGGCAAAACCCAGCCGGTCCTTAACCAGTGGCGGCAATTGCCCTCTCTACCTCCAGCCCCTTCGTTCTCTTTCTCCTCTTTGGTGCAGCTTGTCTCACCACGCTGAAATGACCCTAGCCTATTGCAGTCACCGCCGCTTGTCTCACCCCCATCTGGAGAAGATGCAAGCGTCAATGGAGAAGATGCATATGGGACTCCCAGCGTTGACTTCTTCTATCCAAATGAGGAAGTTGCTTTGGATTTTGGCTGCTGCTTCGGCTCCCCTACGCTGGTGGTTTCCCTTTCAACGACACAGATCGTAGCTCCGGCATCACAATACTAGGGCTAACAGATTCAAGTCAAATAAGAAGCAATTATTTATAAGAACCCGCGTCTAACAGAACTGATCCCATTTTGGATTCAACCCCTTATAAATCCTATAAGCTGAACCTCCGCCTACTAGAAACAGGACTAATCAACTTCATCCAAATTGCTTAATCAGAACAGAGAAGGCACGGGGAGCCTAAAAAGATCAAATGCACTACTTGGGAATTATTAATCCAACTCCAAACAATGAAAATAAGAGACGCAGGGAAGAAAAAATAAAAGATTAAAAAAGCGGACCTGGAAAGAGTCCATCTCGGCACGTTGCAGTGTCAACCCCTTGACGCTTCTTTGTCCTGTTGAGTATCAACCGCCGAGTGCCACGTCTGCCGGCTGCCGCTGCGTCTTCTTTGCTGCTGAGGGCTTTTTCTTCTCTGTGCTTGACTTTATTTCGGTTTTAACTGAAATATCTAAAATAATAAAAAAAAAATTCGATTCGATTTAATCGATTTTTACATATTTCGGTTTCGATTCGGTTTGCCATTTTATTAAATCGGTTTTAAAAATTTCGGTTTTTTCAGTTCGAACCAAACAAAAAAAAAAAAAAAAACGAATGCTCACCCCTAATTGCTTTCCTACTTTTGTTGCCGCGGCCCAAAATCAATCATGACAACACACATCCTCCTTACCCGATCCTAAAATCAAGGATCAAACATCGAAACACTAGAACTAGTGAACAATCGCAATCTTAAGCCTTGTTAATTTCGTGAAGAAACAGAAACAAATCCTATTTCAAATTTCCAATTAGGCCACACCACTCCCCTAAACAGATACAAAACCATTCACACCCCCAAGGAAATGCGAGATTACAGTTGAGAAACGTACCAGTTTGTTCAAACAACCGAATCGTCTATAATAAAACAAAAGAAATCAAATCGACATTCAGAAACCAGAGCAAGAATCGACAAAACTACAATTAGGAATGGAAGAATGCAAAAGAACGTACTTCTAAAGCTCTGCTCTTCCTCCACATAACCAGAAAATCAGAAGCCCTAACTTTACTGACAATCTACGTATAATAAGCCAAGATTTTCTCGAAAATTTTTGGCATCATCACCGGCGTGAGGAACTGGTTTATTTGGAATTTGAGGTAGTAGAGTGGGTGAACAGTGGTTCCCACTTGCAAAGAAAGGATTAAGGCTGGGTCATTTTCGTCATTTCAAAAATTAATTCGTGCATTACTCCAAACCACAGGTGGATAATTATGTCATTTTGAATTCTGACCAAAGGATATTGGATTGTCGCGTTTTAAAAAAGTTTGAATACTAAATTAGCACTCGACAATTTTCCATGGTCTCGTCATATGATTCACGAG